GTCAAAACTTTTGTACAATAAGACCTATAGTGTATTTCAGCTGTCAATCACTAGCAAAGCTTAACGACTATCCTAGGACAATGTGCTTAATCATGCTAGCAACATGCTAAAACATGTTGACATGTTAAAACATGCTAACAACATGCTAATAATGCTAGCCCCATTAAATCATGCTAGCAGCATTCTGAATCATGCTATAAATCATGTGTTAAAATATGCTAACAAACATGTTAAACATGTTAGCAACATGATAAAACATGTTAGCAGTGTGCTAACACACGTTCACAGCATGTTTAGCAACTTTAGCAACTTAAACATTTCAGTAATATTAATAACATTTTATTGCCTCTGATTTGAGTCTTTTCAAACATTCAAACAAGGTTCTGTCAAGCCAAAATAAAAGTTTGTTTACAAACTTTTCTCATCTAGTTTGTCTTTTTTGTACACATTAGGAATGCAGGGCTTGATATTAAGCATTCTCATGTGGTTGTCCTTCGGAGTATAAAAGTTACTTGCCCGGATAGAAAAAAATACATTTAAATTGAGTTATAAATATAATTATTTATTGTAGTTATACAAAATATAGTATAGTGTTTATAGAGTATATGTAGTAGATTTTGTGAGCATGTCAAGTTTAGTTTATTTAGCTTAAAAAATAAAAAAATACTTTAAATGTGAAATTAAAACGGCCAGTAGGTGGCAGCAAGTCACCGTTAATAAGTGAGTCATAGCGACTGAACCGAATCATTTAAACGGTTGATTCATTCAGGAATGAAACACCGTCATGTTGCTCAGAGACGCAAAACAGTGCTGTGGCTGTGTTTGGAATTATTTCTGTTGGTGAAATAGAACAAAAAACAGGCAATATGCTGTCTAAAACGCAAGTCTCTTAACATTAACTTCTTGTTTATTGAACAGTTGTCTAAAATCACATTTGTAATCATGCTGATTTTTGGAGCAAAAAAACGGTGCTCAATCTTCTTGTGATATTGTTTAACTATATGAAATGATATAAATATATATATTTTCTGCCCCCATATCTTGAATTTTCTGATCATTCTTCATGCATTTTAATACTGAATCATGCAGTGAAAGAACTCGCACGTGCACTAGTCTAACCTACTAGACTTCTTTTTTACGTAGGCATAATGCAGTGGTTCTCAACCCGCGGTCCGTCAAGAATTCAAATGCCGCCCATCATGCTGAACACAATTAAAAAAATAACTTTCAGTTTTACAATTCATTTTAGTTTTTACATTAATTTAAAAATGTACTAAACAAATATAAGCTATAATGTTTTTATGTAAAATAATTTTGTTTTTCATATATTATTTTCAGACATGAGTAGACCTGTAGCCTATTCACGTAATTAACGTTACGCATTTAACGAACACTTACAAGCGCGCACTTTGGCAGAATTCAATTCAAATTGTCATCAGCAGCCATTAGTTTGGTAAAACTGAGCATCAGAATGGATACATTTGTTATTAAGGGAGAAAAACGAAATGTGGAAAATGCCAGCGAAGGAACACATACAAACAAGAGTAGTCGCAGCAGTGAAGGTAGGAGAGTGCTGGACTTTCGCCATCAACTTTCGGTTTGCCCCGCCACTCACTTGAAGATGTTCAGGCTGGAGCCCTGCACGGGCCTCAAATATATGACGTTCTGGCCCTAGCCCGGCCCTTGTCCGACAGCTTATCACAACTACCGGCCCGAGCCAGTCTTTTTTTCGCCCTTCTCCCAAAACAGCTTATACTACTGTTTCAGCTATATTAAAATAGTTCAGTTTTGTATGTAATGGCAAAGTGATTATATTTCGTTTAGTTTTTTATTAAGTTAATTTAGAAAAACGTTTGGAGCATTTTTTGGTCGTTAAATATAAGTTTTAGTTTTTTAAAGTAGCCTAGCGACCAAGCGGCCAGCGGCAGACAGTGAGCTGATCATAGCCTATGTTTGATCAATTTAGCCTTCTCAAATCATCACGACTTGCCTAAAATAAAATCTATATATAAAACAGTTCAAGCATATAACAATGTTTGAACGTTAAACCTAGATAAATGTGCGCTATAGTTTGTGCGGAGAGTGGAAGCTAAAGCGTGCTTTGCAGGACATGGAGGCG